CGTTTGACTAGTGTGGCTGGAGAAGTAGCAATTTCATCCTCCAATCCATAGTCACTTTTGAAAGTCTATAAATATTTGAGTTCAAAAATAAACTATCTTTTTTTTTACCTTGGACATCTCAGCTTCTGCATGTTGTGAATTTTGTGTCCTACTATAACAAAGGACCTGCACTGGGGGCTGACCCTGCCTGTGCTCACAGCTTGGCTTTGCATGTGCACACACATCCACTGGCTGCTCCTGGGACCCCATCCTGGCAGCCAAGCCCTGCCAGAGAGCAGCCACTGCCAAAACTCTGTGGCTGCTCCCCTCAGCACCCAGCAGCAAATCCTCCCTGCAGCGTTTCCCTCCCCTCCCTGGCTGCCCATTGGATGGGTGACCTTCACCTCCCATTCGTGTTTTCCTGCCACTGCCTCCCCTCCCTCTTTTATGCACATTTTTCTGTTGCTGGAACCAGGGAGAAATGTGAGAGCAGGGCTGGCAGAGCCACTAATGGAGTGTAACTGCCTCCTGCCAGAGGCAGCCAGGCTGCACTTGGGTGAGGCACAGGTTCCCCAGCCCCAGCTGTTTCCAGCAGCTCCCTCAGCCTGATCCCCAGGGAGATTGGGGAGCCTCTTGCCACCAATCCACTGGAGCTGGCAGCTTGTTCATGGGGCAGAGAGAAAAACCCCTCTGGGAATCTCCTCCATGCTGGGCACAGAAATCCTGACCTCAGTGGGGCTGCAGAGCTGCAGAGTCAGTGCAGGTGTAGCAAAGAGCAGAGAGGAACCTCTTACCAGCTTATCCCTTCTTCAACTATGGAAAATAAACTTGCCAACAGCACAGCCTCCCAGGAGAGGTTGTTGCTGAGGGCAAAGTGAGGCAGCAGGTGCCAGGTAAACCTTGGTGCAACCACACACCCCTTGGGTCAGAGGGAACCCATCAGAATGTTCCTATTCAAACCTTTTCTTCCAGGCATCTGATGAGGAATTGTCAAAGAATTTGTTTTCCAGATCAGTCTGGCAGCAGGACATGTCCTCCCAGCCCATTTCTATTCACCACATCATTCCTGGCTGTAGCAACCTGGAATTTTTGGGTTTTGCCTGCCCTGCAGACAGGGTTTGCCCCATGGGACATACCAAACCTCCATTTCACATGAGAACCAGATGAAGAACACCAAAATTTTCAACAGAAGGGGTCCAGGAGGGCTACTTACCCTTTCCTCATGAGGTCAAACACTGCAAGAAAAGGAAATAAACCATGAATGAATGAGAAGAGCAGCCTGGGCTTATTTGTTATTCATCACCTACAAACACACATCCATTCCCATACCTGCAAAATCAATTTATCTCCACTCATTTCTCTTCCCTCACCCATGACAAGGACACCAGAGGATGCAAAATGAGAATATTCATCTCTTCAGCACAGACAAACATCCCCCCTCCTGGCAGCTCTGCACAGGGACACAGTGGGTGCTAATTTATCACCCACAGAGCTGCTGCTCTGGGTGCCAGCCCTGCTTGATTTGAGCCCTGCTGTACCTCCAAGGGAGGGTGTTTGGTGTGATATTCCCACTAAACTGCTGATAGCGAAGGAGATGCTGTAGGAACATGCTGCTCCATTTCTGCTGTGTCAATCAGCAGCACAGCCACAGCTTTGTCACGGCCAAGCACTCCCTGGCAGGAGCCACTGAGGAGGATTTGCTGCTGTGAGCTGAGGTTTGCAGAGCACATGAGTTTGTGTGTCTGCTTAGGAGGTTGGGGAAAAGTGTTTTTCTGATCCTGCTCTGCAAACAGGAGAAGGATCTGCTTTTATCTAGAGTAGGAGAGCTCTTTCCTCATGAATTACACAGGGATTGCTTGCACCTCCCAAAAAATCTGAGAATCTGAGCAGATCCCCTCCCCAGAGCACTGGGTACAAACACAACAGGGCAGCCTGAATTGGCTCACCTTGCCCTCCAGAAGCTACAGCTTGTGGAACCATTTCATTATTCAACCTCTCTGTGGAAGCATTTCATTATTCAGCCTCTGCACCTCTGCAGGTTGCTCAGTGCCTGCTGACACCCCATTCCAAGTGCTCACATCAGTGCCTGATCCCAGCAGCCACAGGCAAGGAGCAAAAACCTCTTCCTCTACATCTGCTCTGCACTGGGGGCATTTTTGGTTGAGTTTTGGGGTTTTTTTCCTCTCTGCAGCTTTCTACCTCATCTCTCCCCTTTCCTCCATCCCCAGGAGTTCAGGCCTTCAAACAAACAGCCTCAATCACCCTCCCCACTACCAGTGCCATCACTTTGAGATGCTGCCAGATGCCACTGGGGCTTCAGCCCAGAGGGAAAAGTGGCCTTTCAAAGGCAAATTGCTTCATTTGCTAGGCAGAGTCCTCCTCCAGGCAGCTTCAGAAGTGTCCCATAATTATTTCATGAGGAGGAGTCTTTGAACCTGCTTCATCAGGAAACAGTGTGGGGAAGCAGAGATGTAGAAGGGTCAGCCATCCCCTCATCCAGCCCATCTCAGAGGGCACCTCAGGGCCTCCCAGGCCTGTCCCTCAGTGTTTTACCCAAATTGGGGTTAGGGATGGCTGGCACTGTCAGGGCTTGGAGGAGACGAAGACAAAATGGGTGGAATTGCCTCACCCTCTGCAGAAACACCCAGTGAGGAATCCAGGTGGGTTCCTCACCATGCTGCTCCCTCAGGAGGTCCTGAGGCTCACCAGAGGTCACAGGGAACACTCCCAGACAAGACTGGAGTGACTCTGGGGTCACTTCCACCATCCTACAGAAATTTCACAGCAGGAGAACAAGGAAACCATCCTGCACCCTTCCCTTCCCTCCTGCCTCTGGGGCTGGAATCAGCTGGGACAGAGCAGCTGCCAGGTGTTTTCAGTGCACCCATGGCACAGAGATATGCACAGCTGTGCTGACACAAGGTTGCCTTACCCTACTGCACGGGGCCTTTCCATCCCAGCTGCATCTAGAGGTGTTTAAACTTGGCAGGAAACAAAAAATCTGCAAGGTTGGCACAAGTTTCCTGCAGTATTGACCCCCAGTCCTGGCACGTGGCACTGGCAGCACCAGGCCCAATCCCAGAGGGTTCTGTTAGCTTATGAAACTCACATACCCATGTACAAGTTGTCCTCTGCAGGATCATCAAGGACCTGAGAGATCACAGAGAAAAAAGGGGAAAGAGAAAAAAAAAGTGAAAAAAAGTGGAAAAAAAGCAGAAAAAGAAAAGATTTTTATGCAAGTAACAGTCCCAGTACGCTGTGCTGAGCTGCATAACACTGAGAACAATTTAGGCTAATATTTAGAAAGTCCTGCAGAAAATTTGGAGGGGTTCTGGAGGACAGGGTTTTTTTGGGGTTTTGGAAGACAGGTTTTCCTGTCTCCAGAAAAATCTGGGCTTCTGCCTGTATTTAGAGAAACAGCCTACCAATAAAGGCACTGCTTGTCCTGAACTGCCCTCAGTCAATAATGAAAATGGCACTGGAGCCTTGCACTTGTGCACCTTCCCAGGCTTGTCTGCACACAAGTTTCAGTGATCAAAGCTCACTGCCATTTCTACCAGCACAGTGAGCTGCCTTCTCCTGGGCACCAGCCCAGAGCTCAGCCTGAGAGTCACAGTCAGCAAGATTTTGCTTGGAATCACCAGCCTAAATTTATGAACATCTATATTAAACCAATTCTGGCTGAAGTAGGAACAGTTGAAGAAAAACCCTCCTGTTGCAATACAAACCAGATTTGTTTCAGCATAAATTAGGGTGGAAAAGCAGCTCACCTCTATCAGCTTAACAATATTGACGTGGTCCAGCTTCTTGAGGATGGCTATTTCCTGATAGACTCTGTCCAGGGGTGCCATGGGCTTGGGCTGCTCTCCTGAGGATGCTTTGGACCCTCTGGGAGGAGGCCGACCTGCAAGTGGGACAGCACAGTGAGGAATTCCTGCTTTGGCAGCAGCGTGAGCAGCACTGGCCCCTCTGCACACCCCTCCAGCTCCTCTGCAAGATCTCATCCTCATTCTCATCATCACATTGTTCTCATCATCACATTGTTCTCATCATCATTCTCATCATCACATTGTTCTCACCCCAGAGCTCTGCAGTATCCCAGCTGCAGCTGAGCTCTCCAAGCCCCACTGAGAGCAGCTGTTCCCAGCTGGATCTGGGACATCCTTTTGGGGTCTCTAGCTGCTCAGAGTGACCCCAAGAAAAGTTGGAAAGTCTCTTTTCCCAGCCTGGCACTCAAAGAAGGACTCAGAGCTCTTCATTTCTCAGTCTCAAGGTTGTTTATTGTATCTTATCTATAAAATTTTTTCTCCTGTCCTGCCAAGGTCTGCTCAGCAAGACAGTCCAGGCACTCGGCCTGCCCCCAGGGCAGGGTTATGTCTTTATACTAAAAACTACCCGTACAATATTTGCAATTACTTTCCAATACCTATCACCTATGTTAGACAGTGAGCTTCTACTCTAAACCAATCTAAAAGTGCCAACATCCCAGCAGAAGATGGAGGCCAAGAAGAAGAAGAAGGAGAAAGGCTGGACATGCCCAGTTCCCTCCATCTTGCCTCCTGAACCCCCATACAAGAAACCCCAAAATCTACTTTTTCACCCTGTGATAAATTCACTATCATTCTATTTAATTTGTTGTGGCTTGCTGGTCTTCATATAAGGTTGGTAACTTGCTCCATGGGTCAAAACCAAACCCACAGGTGTTTTGAGCTCTGTGCCAGGGTCTCTGAGCCCCTGGCAGGGGTCTTGGCCATCCTGGACAGCCAGAGGGATGTCCTGGGTCCTGACAGCATCCCATGGCCCAGCCTGCAGCCAGGGGCTATCCCAGGGGAAGGAAAGGAGGAGAACACCCTGCCTAATTCCAGTGCTTAATTAGGCCTCATAAATGGTGAATATGGAAGAGTCAGCACTTCAAAGAGACTCACAAAAATCAGAGCCAGGCACCTCATTACTGAGTATGCTGGATTTCCCTGTGGCTGTTTCTGCCCCCTCACCACCCCCTTTAACCAGCTCCCTTTTAACATGGGCACTGTCACAGGAGGCCACTCTGCACCCCTTGCAGGCAAGGTTTCTACAGAGAAATCTGGCTGAGGACAACAAGCAGGCCTCTAAATGTGAGATACCCACGTGGAAATCCATACTGCTTCAAGAGCTTCTTTTTGGAGAGGACTTTCATAGCCTGGAGGAAGGAAAAAAAGCAGTGTTAAAAGTGAACAGGAGCCAAAGAGCTGATTGCTGTGACCTGGGGTGTGCTGGGCATCAGGGACTGGCTCAAGGCTGCTCCTCAGCCTAGAGCAGGGTCCTGGTCAGTGGTGCCCACACCAGACACTGACCCAAAGGCTTTCCTGAAAGCACTGCCAGCCATCTGTTCCTTTCATCTTTCCCCATAAAAATGTTTCAAATTCTTTTTCAAATAAAAAAAAATTCAAATCAATTTTCAAATGAATTTCAATTGCAAGGAATTTCAGACTAATTTTCAAATGGTCAAAGAAAAATGAGCCCAAATTTCTGCATTTGGGGCAGAAGTTTGAGGGAAGAAGTGGGTTTCTCTGGCTGACCCACTGTTTTAAATGATGTTAAGGCCATGCTCCAGCTCAGAGCCACTTCAAGGCTGCTTCATCTTATTTTTGGGTATAAGAAGGAAACTGAGCCCAGGCAGCTGAGGTGTGGGAAGGGGTCAGGGTGTCACGGACACATTTTATGAAAAATCCTTTTGCCAGGATTTTTCTCCTGAGAAGCTGAAAGGCCTCAGAAACAAAATGTAAACAATGATTACCTGCTGCTGTGGAATGCAACAGGTGCATCTGTGATTGGTCTCATGTGGTTGTTTCTAATTAATGGCCAATCACAGTCAGCTGGCTCGGACTCGCTGGTCAGTCACAAAATTATCATTCCATTCCTTTCCTTGCTAGCCTTCTGATGAAATCCTTTCTTCTATTCTTTCAGTATAGTTTTAATATATAATTTTCTTTTAATATAATATATATAATAAAATAATAAATCAGCCTTCTGAAACATGGAGTCAAGATTCTCATCTCTTTCCGCATCCTGGGACCCCTGTGAACCCCACCACAGTCAGGGTAATTCCTCCTGCCATCCAGCTGGCAGTAGCACAGTGGCAAAAGGCAATCTGAATTTAATAAATAATCTTTGTGCCTCCACCTGCTCTGTGCATTAATAACCTTTTGGAGGGCCACTCAAACCCCCCAAGTGGCCCAGCAGATGAATATTTAATGAGAAACCAGCTCATGGTACAATTTGCTTGGGAAAACACTCTGTGCTTCCAGGAGCTGGGATGGTCACTCACTCCTTCCCCTCCCTAAGGGGAAGGTTATTAATATTCCTATTAATATAGCATCCCATATCTAATTACCACTGGAGTGATTCCTACACAATCTAACTAACCAAGGGTCCTGCAGTACACAGTCAAACCCCCAGGAATTTTGCATCAGTGCCACAGAGGAAAGGTCTCTGCCCATTGTTACCTGTTTTTAATCCCCACACCAGGAACAGGTCACCAAACCCACTCCAGTGAGCTCCTTCCCAAGCTGTTGTTCCTGGCAGTGATGGCACCATGTGCCCAAACATCCCCACCTGCCATCAGTGCTCCAGGTTCATGGCTTGCTGAAAGGATTGTTATTTTTGGTACTGGTCCAGTGAAATCCTCTGGATTTGCACCCGTGTAATTGAGAGGAGACACTGAGCAGTGTTTCAATCCTGCCTGACAGCTCCAGCCAACTGTTAGAAATGATGGTGTTGAGAGACAGACTCAGGAGTGCTTATCTGTGACTTAGCACAGCTCTGTGCCCAGTACAGGCAGCCAAATGACTCATGGTCTCCTGGAAGAGGATCCAAGATGTGCACAACCACCTCCAAATACGGCCAGGACCAAGCCTGGAGGACTTCCTACGCTTCCCATTTTATCTCTCCATCATGAAAATTTATGAGAAAAATCAAAGGAATTAGTACACCCATTTCTCTTTCAACCACTGCCAACCCAGGAGGAGAACTCTCCTCCTGTTCCAATCCCATCTTGAGTCCTTGCTGCCTTCTGGCAAGGAGCTTCAGAAAAAGGACAAAATAGAAGATGCAATTTGCTGCTGAAAGCTCTTGAATTTGGGGGCCTCAGCCTGAGGGATTGAACCATCACCAGCAGCCATACCCACATCAGGACAGTCCTTCCCAGGAGAAATGGAGGGAGCTGGAAGGCACAGAGAGGAGCCATAGCTAACACAGGACTTGCTTTTGGGGACAGAAATGGGGGGAACAGCAGCTCCTGCTGTCACCCAAACTCCTTGAAGGACACTGGAGGGGCAGTGGAGGGTTACTGCATTGCAGGAGAGTTGGCTGCAAAGCACCACTACTGCTGGAAGAAGCACCAGGAGATGCTTCTGCCAGTTTTACTGCACAGGCAGGGCTGGGTCAGAAGAGAGGACCTGTCCCACTGTGCTGACAAACACCAAAGTTCATCGTGCAACAGGCCAGAAGCACTTAATTATCACAAGAGCAGAGAGGAGGGCACGTGGCAGTGAAGGCTCACTGTAATTACAGCTCCCTGCTGAATGGTGGCTGCTGCACTGGGAGCATCTCAGGGATGCCTCAGCAAACCTCTCCTTCCAGGCTCAGTGCAGGCAGAGCCAAAGACATTTGTACTCACAGGCAGAGCTAATTACCCAGATAATGCCTTTCTGATAAAGAACCAGCTCAGAGCCAAGCTGAGGGATTTTCCCTTTGCACAGGCAAGTGTTGCTTCAGTATTCTCAGGAAAAGAAGGAGCCTGGAGATTTCCTCCACACATCCTCCCGAGCCTGGACACGGGTCTTGACATCTCCCCTGGAGAAACAGCAGGATCTGTGTGCTTGTCTCTGATGTGTGTTTATTTTCTAAGTTTACTGCTCTCTTCCTATCAACCCTACAGCTGGAAGGCACAGGGAAGCTGCCTAAGGGAAAGGAGATCCCAGGCTTATGGAGAGGAGGAATGCCTGTGACACAGCAGCAGGACACAAGCTGTGGGCAATGACAAGGGAAAAAAGGCCACTGGTTTTGGGAGGGAAGGGTGACAAAATGACTGAGCCAAGTGAACTCATCACCTGTCCTTGGTGATGCTCTCACAGTGCTCAGAATGTCATTTTATTTGCTAAGGGAGAGATTTGTGTTGCAAGGGCAGAAGGCTTTGCACAGTCCCAACTCCGGCTCCCAGGGCAGTGGGATGCTGCTCAAAAATCCCTCCCAACCACCTAAATCCTCTGCTAGTGCATGAGGGCACTCTGTGGGAATGCTGAACAGACCAGAGGGTGTTCCCAGCCCTCTTCACCTGTCCTACCTTGCAATAACATCCCTCAGACAAAGCAGCTGAGAGGGAAGCTCAGCTGGCAAAGAGGAGTGTTAGAACTGAAAGAAAATCCTAAACCTGACAGGCTTAGCTGCCATGGCCTTAAAATCCTGTCCTGAGTTTGTCACCTTTTATCCCACCAGCAGAATTCCACCATCAGGCTGTGCCCCATGCACACTGTGCCACCCCAGCAGGGATGAGTCCTGCAGCTCCCCTGTCCCCAGCTGTCACCTGAAGGGGTGAGCCAGCCCCCCAAAGCACTCAGCTGAACACCAGAGGGGCTGCACTGAGCCAGAGATCCCCTCTCTGCTCCCCACGGCTCTGGCAGTGCTTCAGCAGCTGTTGTGTGAGCCAGGGGATGGGAAATGCAGGAGCTGTGCCTTCCCTTCCCTCCTGGATGGCAACCAAAGCGGGTTCTCCAGGGGCTGGAAAGTTCAGGGCTTGCTGCTGGGCTCCTCCTCAGCTGCAGCCCTTTGTTCAGCCACTCCTTTCAGAAACTTGGAAGGAATTTTTCCCCATCACTGGGACTTGTTAGGAAACAGCCCTCTGTGCAAGGATTGTTAGGTACAAACAGAGGCACAGAGCACAATCACACAAATCTTGTTTCTTAGGAAACAAGATTAAAAAAGAAGGATGAAAAAAAGAAAAATCCACTGACAACCTAAATGCTGTTGCCTTCTTCCAGCAGTAGCATAACAAATGCCCATCATAACCACTTTTCTTTGCAAGCTGATTTAGAGATTGAAAATAGGAGGAAGACATGACCTGAGGCATCAAAGAATCAAATTCCATCAGCACAATGATTCCAATCTAGATCTCTCCTTGGACACATTTGCCTTTACTTTTTATTTGCTGCTTTTTCACAGAACTTGGCCTTTGATTTTTTTCCCTTAGTCACTGTCAAAGCATCTCCTTCAAACTGAGGCACTGAAACCTTTGCAGTTGAAGGGTTCCTTGGCAGAGCCCAGAGCTGTGACAGCTCCATGAGCCCCAGGGGCAGCAGGGTCCTCCAGCTCTGCTTTCCAGCGGGGTCTCCTCCTTGGAGGCAGCACTGGCTCACAAACCTGGTGCAGAAATTCCAGTTTCCATGGCCTAGCACATTCCCTGCATCCAGGGACGTGAGCCAGGACACTTCACAGCCCTGCCAGGCACCGTGGTGCTCACAGCAACCAAGGGCAAAGCTCTGAGAAGCACTCCCTCATCTTTAGTGGAAGGTAAAAAACCCACAAAGTAAACACAACCCATCTACATTTTTTCCCAAATGTGGTGGTTGATTTTTTTTTCTTGAGAGTTTTTCCTAATTCTAGGCCAGATCCAAAACTCATTAAAGCAGCAGCAATCTTTCCTTTGGCTTTGACAGGAGCTCTATTCAGTCCTTGCTCCCTATAAACTCTGCCTGTTTGAAGGGTCCCACACCTCAGCAAGGATCAGGAGCCACACTCTGAATTATAGCTCTAAATAAATGTTTTCTTATCTTTTTTTACAATTTAGGTCCTTGTTATTGCAGCACACGAGCTAAAAGACAATAAAGGCAGCAACACCCTAACCTCATGCTGAACCTCTGCAAATGGAAATCAGTTATAGAAGCAGAATATCATAGAATAGTTTGGGTTGAAAGGGACCTTAAAAATCATCAGTTCCATCACCCTGCCATGGGCAAAGACCCCTTCCACCAGACCAGAGTGCCCCAAGCCCATCCAACCTGGCCTTGCTCACTAAAGGAAATCACCAAGGGCTGCTTTTCACCACTGAGACAAAAAAAACACCCTCTGGGGGAAAACAAGCACACAGAACAGGCCCTTCCCAACTGTTAGAATCCCAATTGCTTCTCTTAACTGTTGGTAAGAGCCATGAGGCAGCCCCGGGGGCCTCCGGGGTGCTGTGCTGAGGAGCAGGGCTGGGAAGGACAGGCAGGGCAGGATGGAAGCTGTCTGAGCTCTGGGAGAGCCCCAGGGTCAGGCAGGGCAGGCAGGTGGAGAGCTGAGCAGCCCTCAGCCAGTTATGCAATCAGCTCTTTCTCTGAAGCTTTGAAAAGCCTGCCAGCTCCTGAGCTGGATTAACGTCCTGGAAAAGCACAGGTGTCTCCACCAGGCCTGCCCTCCATTAAACAAGCACAGGGGGCTGGGAGGATGAGGATGGAGGCACGTGGCTGCACTGGGGAGGGAATCAGCTCCCCCTGCCCTGCCAAGAGTGGAACAAAGACAAGGACACCAAGTTCAGAGAGGCCCATCCATCCACACACCTCCAGCATCACCCACCCAGCCCAGGGTCAGCTGAACCCCAAAAGGAGGATGGGGTGAAGCAAGAGCACATCCCTGCAGGGCTGGCACTAAGGGGGGGGTCTTTGTGCCCTGCCTGCCCCCAGGTGAGGCTCAAACAGCCCCAGGCACGGTGCCCCTCCTGGCTGCAGCACACTTAAAGTGTTTGCTTAGATTAGAATCCAAGATTAAGTGGGGATTAACTGACACACACCAGGCTAACCTGCACACAGGCTTTCACTTTTGGTTGTGATGTGACCAGCTAAATCCACACCCATGGGGTTAATCTGCATCCAGAACAGGGACAGGAGTGCAGCAGGCAGTGCTACCCTTTGGTTTGGATGTGACCAGCTAAATCCACATGCATGGGGTTAATCTGCATCCAGAACAGGGACAGGAGTGCAGCAGGCAGTGCTACCCTACACCCAGCTCTCCTGGCTGAGCTGTAACAGATGGCCACCAGTGGGCACCTCAAAGGCATTTCCTGAGCAAAAAGGCAGTGCCAAAATGTAAGGATTATAATTTTCAAAGGAAAAAATACTTTTAGCTGGAAACAAACATGATTTATGGAGGTGATGCATTCCCACCCTGTGCTACTGGTGCTGGTGGGACAGATGGGTCAGGGAAGCCAGGGCTGGCACCATCACTCTGCAGAACAAACCATCCTGCTGCAGGGCATGGCAGGAAGGATTTGGAGGGCAGCAGAGAAAAAGAGCCACTGGAAAAAGCTCTGGTGCAGCTGTGAATCAGCTTGGAAAGGATGGGAGATGGAAAGAATTGTGGCTCCTTTCCTTGGCCAGCTCCAGGGCACCTTGTCCAGATTTTTGTCTCATCTCTTCCATCCTTCATTTCAAGACATTTCTGCTGCAGTTCCATCCCTGCTGGAAGCCAGAAAAGGCAGAGGAATACCCACAGGCACACAATTCCCACCTGACCACTTCAACCTGGTGTGCTACTTGTAATAAAGAGTCAGGGAGGAAAAACTACCTGGGGAACAGTGGAGAATGAGCATGCTTTATGTTCCACAGCACATTCCTGTTCCCCTTTGTCCCAAGGCAGCACACCAGCCTGCCTGGCTGCTCTGGGGCCCATTTTCATCCCACTCTCACCAAATGCAGTGTGGAGCAGCAGGGCTGTGTTGGTTGAGGTTCAGCAGCACTGCAACCCCACAGCTCAGCAGATTCCTGCCCTGGCATCCATCAGAAACTGTTGGAAGTTTTTCCAGAAGCCTCCAGGCACAGCCACACATAGCAAGGAAGTTTTCCTTCCTTCCAGCTCCTGCTCTCAGCCTGAACAAAACAAGCCACAGGGCAACCCCAGGGAAATGAGCACATCTGCAGGCAGATTTCACAGGAATTCCAGCTGGGATGGTTGGGATTCAGCTGCCTCTGAAAGGGGAAGCCCAGAACAGGAGCCTTTTGAAATATGACACTCCCCAACTCTGGCTTTGTTAAACCCAAGATTTGCCTTCAGTCTTGCACTCTACACCTCATGCTCTGGCAGTGGGCCTGGCACTGCCCAGCCCCACCATTCTGCTCAGCCTTTTCCTGAGAAACTCCACATTTCCTTACAAAACACTCCTGCTGTGGGATTCACATTCTCTGAACCTGAGAGAAGCAGAAAAAAAGAAAGATCAAGACAATTCTTATCTCATTGGCTGCTCCTGTGTTTGTGCCAAAGCAGAATGCAATGTGGAGCTTGTTTACCCACAGGGATGGGGTTTTGTTTCCTTGGCCTGTCAGGGCCAGGTGTGTGTGTGTGTGTTGGGACTGTGGGGTGACAGTCATGAGATTCTGGGCAGTTGGGTGCTTGTCAGATTCAGTTTAGATGTAATGTAATATAATATAGAATAATACAGTATAATAAAGTAATTAATTAGCCTTCTGCTAAGCATTGAGTCAGATGCATCATTTTCTCCCCATCGTCAAGGCTGCCCTGATTTACTCTATCCTGCTCCTTCCAGGCCATGTTTCCAATGCACAGCAGGTGCTGAACACCACCACCCACATGCCTCTAATTTCAGGTGACCTGCTTCATAGCCAGAAAATGCCAAGGCAGATCAGCAGCATGTTCTGCCTGTTACATAAGGCACCCACCCGTCCCTCCCTCACAGCAGCTCCTGCAAGCCCCCCCAAAAATCACAGGGACACAGCTGAGAGCAGCTGCCAGGGGGGACAGCAGCAGAGAGGAGCAGAGCAGAGGCACACTCACATAATATTTGTCATCATTCTCGTTGTAGGCCAGCTTCACCACGCCGTAGGAGCCCTGGAAATGAACAGGAAATGCAGGGTCAGCTCAGCAGCTCCACCTCAGCCTCGTGCTGCTCGAGGCTGGGGTGATGTATGGTTTCTTCTAGGCAGGTCTTGTAAGCTTTTAGAGATCTATATCACACTCAAGATAGCTCAGCTACTTTAGAAAGCATAAAATTAGCAAGGTGGTTTCTGTAGTAGTGCTGGAAGCAGAAAAGTTTTGATAAAAGGCAAAATAACAAAACTCTTTACAGAGAAAAACTGAGCCAGGTGCAAGAAGTTCTTGCTCCTAGTAAAACACTTCACAAAAGCAATTAGTTTCTTTATTCTCTTTTTTTTAGTAAATTGCTTATGTGAGACATTTTGTCTCCTGTCCAATTGGCTATCCTTAAATTTGAGGTGAAGTCTCCTAAATTCTATGAAGTGTCTTTTTACCGAATCAAAGAAAGAAAGGAAAAAAGCTTATAACTTTCTAAGGAAACAAAAGATAGTTTTGTCACTCTGTCAGGAGAGAGCACATCCCTGTACTGGTGGACCACAGATGGGAAAAAACCAACTCCCAAGGCCCCAGGCCATGCTGAGCCCTGAGCAGTCTGCAGGTGATGTGACCCTACAGCAGGGCTGGATGTTTTGGCAGCTCTGGAGAATAATCCATGTCTGGAGGAGCTGAGTGCTACCCCACCACCCCTGCCCTGAGCCAAGGCCACCACGTCTGTCTGAACTCACATAGGGATGGGCAGCAGAGGGAAAATTTTCTTGGTGCAAATTTGGAAGTTCTGCATGAGCACCTTTCCTGTTCCACCAAGCACATGCTGCCCAGGCAGGGGCAGGCCTGCACTGCTGCTGCACCCACAGCTCCAGGGACAGCCTGAAGCCAAACTCCATCCAAAATTCTGTTTTTACAAAGTCCCAATAAACACTCATTTTATGCAAGTAAGCCATGATCAGGTATTATCCCTGACATATAAATGAGTGGGATGAACACCAGAGCCTTCAAAATAGTTCCCTTGACTTCACTGAGAGTTGAAATAAGGTTCTGGTCTCAGAGGAGACTCACAAGCCATCTGGCTGATCCAGAAGCACAGCAGACCCTCTCCCAGTCTCACAGTGCCCACCTGCTTGCCCACAGGGAAGGAGGGAGGCAGAGACAAATCCACCTCAGAGAAGTCAGAAGCCCTGGGTGGGTCTGAAGCTGTGTGTGAGTTTGGGATGGCACCTGCTGTGCCAGCAGTGCCACCTGCACTCTCACCCCTGCCCATGGCACAGATGGTGGGGGTGCCTCTCATTTTGGAGGCATTTTGGGCTAATTAAATTAAACTTGTGCAGCTCAGGGTGCAGCCTCCTGTGCCTGCAGCTCAGCTGCAGAGGCAGACACAGCTCCCAGACACAGCACTGCCTGTGGAGCCATCTGCAACGGTGGCACATGGCCAGAGGTGCAGGTGTCTGAGCTGCTCACCAGCCCAGACCTCTAAATAACTTACAGGAATCACTTTTGAATCATTCTGCAGCTTTTAAATGTGCACTAGAATTAAACAAACATTTCGTGTGATGTAAAAACTTTAACTAGTCCTGATGGGCACCAAACACCTGCCCTGATCATCTTTTTGGGGTTTTTTTCCCTTGTTGTGTTGTATTAATGTATCAAAGGCTGTTAGTGTTACATTTGGCAAGCAAACACCCCTGAAAGGGAGCCAGCTTAACCACCTTCTGAGGGAGGAAAAATAAATTTAGATTTCAAAGGAAGTAACTCACTGTGACCTTGAACAAAACTTGCTCCAATTAATATGGAAAAAACCCTCAAAAATAATAATAATAAAGAAACCACAAACCAAACAAAGCTTGCAAGGAGCCTTGACCAGTGAGGTCTCTTGGGCTGGCACAGCCTTTCCAGCCCTGCTCAGACGTGTGACACAGGCTGGTGTGACCAACATGAGCCCCAGTACTCACCTTGCCTATTTCACTCTGCAGCTTGTACTGGTTTAATTGCACACAGTCCTGCAGATCAAAAGGAGAACATAATTAGAGTATTGGTAAAGGAAATGACAGAGTCTGAATCAGGTTCAAGTAGTGGCAGAGTGCTAAATAATTAAAGACTTAATCTCACTTACACTGGTGTATGTTACACTATGTTACACTATAAGCACTGTTTTGGTTTTTTTTTTGGTTTGGTGTTTTTTTTGTTTTGTTTTGGGGTTTTTTGGTTTGGTTTTTTTTGGTTTGTTTGTTTTTTGTTTGTTTGGTTGTTTTTGGTTTTTTTTGACAACCCAAGACAAAACAATTATGGGCTGAATTCTGATTCTGATTGTGCTGTGTAAAACCACCCCAGTTCCCCAGCACTGCCCCGGGTTCAGCCCAGCCTGGCAGCCCCCAGCATCCAGCCCAGGGTCCCAGCATGAGCCTGTGCCCTCCCCAGCACCAGCCTGGCAAACACAGAGCCCCTCTGGCTGTGCCTGCACCACAGGAACCCTCACCTGCTCCTCCAGCAGAGCACACAGAGCCCAGCTCCTCTGCGGGGCAACACAAACTGCTGGGAAGGATGAAAGTTTGACAACAAAGTCTCACAGATATGTGTGCTTAGCAGAAAGATTTCTGAATGTACAATCTGAAGAAGGAATAGAGATTGAAACAAGTTTTGATATAGAAGAAAAGAATTGCTGAGCCAGACTTACTAATAACCAAGGAGGCAAAAGGATATGTTAGTTAGAAGGGTTTTTATGGCTTAGAGCAAAGGATAAACCCACCTCAAACAAGAAGATGTTTTTACCAAGCAGAAAGAGAGCACAGGCAAACAAGTGAGAAAATGTAGCAAGTAGAAAAAAGGTCTCAGAATTTTCCACTGCAAGAAAACTGAGAAACACTTCCAGCTTAAACTGTAATGTACTGACTGTTAGTGATTGGAGAACAGTGACATGAATATGGTAATTACAGTAGCTATGATAGGCTGTAGATAATAGTTAAGGTATAGATTGGTTCTGCTGTATTGAGATGCTCAGCAAAGAAAAGCATATAATGTATTGTAACCAAAAGAAAAGTATATAATGCAATGTAACCAAAACCAAAGTCTATAATGCACTGTAACCTAAACTCAGGGTCTCCAGGCCTGCCTGCAGCTGGAGCTGACAGCTGTGGGCACAGCTCTGTCACCCACGGCCCTGGACTGCTGTGACACCTTGGATCCAATAAACTGCATTTTGGAGACTGCCTGGAGTCCCACATCTCTCATTCAGGCTCTTACAACAAACAGTGCTACTGACATGGGGTTTGCTAAAATCAATCACCCCAGAGCAGCTCTGATTCTGCTGCTGAGGAACCCAGCCCTGATTGGGGTGGGGATGTGGAGATGGATGCTGAGCTCCTCCCAGACCAGGGGTGGCCAAGGGGCAGAACAAGGTGGGACAGAGGATCCACAAATCCAGCTGGTGTTGGAGCCACCCTGCCTTTGGAGCTGCACACCTTGGTGCAGAGCCAGGCTCTGGCAGGGCTGGAGCTGCTGCTGGCACCTCTGCAGTGCTGGCACCAGGCACAGAGGCTGCAGTGCAGTTTGCCTTGTCCTCACTGAGCCCTGAGCTGCATTGCAGGGCAGGGAAGAGCCCCCACCTTGGAGGGGTGAGGAAAAGGAGGAGTTTCCAACCCCAGGACACAGTGTGGCCTGAGCCTCAGATGGGTGCACTTCCCAAGACTGCATTTTTCAACATTTCTCCCCAAAACTGCCAAGCACTAAAGCAGGCTGGAAATTTACAGCCAGCCTCTGCACTTGTTTGGGAACAAAGCTGATCTAAAACATGCAGACAGGTAGATTAGCCTTCCCACAAGCCTCAAAACAGCCCTGCCATCTACAGAAGCAGCACCACAACATAAAGGCAGTGCCAGATGCCTTCAGTCCATTTGTAAGAACAGGGGTGGAGAGTCCCTGCCCCAGCAGCATTCCCACCAACAGCAGCACTCCTCTGCCTCTCAGGGCCAGCACTGGTGTGGGAAATGATAATTCTGACTTTTCTCCATCACCAACTAGAAAACATTCTTAATGCTCCTGATCAAGATATCATCACAATTAAAGGAATGGGGCACTGTGTCACAGACATCTTTTATGAAAAATCCTTTCCTTAGGAGTTTTCCTCCTGGGAAGCTGAGAGGCCTCAGGAACAAAATGTAAACATTGATTGTCTGCTGCTGTGGAATGCAACAGGTGCATCTGTAGTTGGCCCATGTTGGATGTTTGTAATTAATGGCCAATCATAGTCAGCTCGTTTGGACAGAGAGCCGAGTCACAAACCTTTGTTATGATTCTTTGCTATTCTATTCTTAGCCAGCCTTCTAATGAAATATTTTCTTCTATTCTTTTAGTATAGTTTTAATGTAATATATATAATAAAATAATAAATCAGCCTTCTGAAACATGGAGTCAGATCCTCCTCTCTTCCTCAATCCAAAAACCTCTGTGAACACTGTCACAGGACTAAGGACTTTTTTCCCTCCTGGCTTGTGAGGAATACAAGGAATGGTTTAAATCTTGATCTTGTTGCCAGGGAAGGAAGCTTTTTCCAGCTCTCTGACAGGGAAGAGCAGCCATCTGTGAGTAATGGGGCCATAGGAGTGTATTAACTCTGCTGCTAGCAGAGCACATATCTTTCCAAAGGTAAAAACCAATCCATCAGAACTGGGAGCACCAGGAGAGGAGAAAGCATGACCCAGCAAAAGCCAAGATGCAAGGCATGAAAGGAGGGGGCAGCATGCAGGAACCCAGGGTATGGACACAAGGAGGACAAATTTCCCTGCAAACACTGAGCCAGCAGATTCACTTCCCAGTGTGAGGCTGTGGTGATTTTCACAAATTCAGCAGCAACACTTTTCTGATGTTGTCTCCTGTCCTGGTGTCTCTGTGCTCAGCTTTGTGCCCCTCGCCTGGTCCTGTGGGAACTGCAGTGCTGCAGAGGGTGAAACACCCACTGGAGCAGCTGGGCAGGCAGGAAGAGTGACCATTCCTCCAAGAAAGCCTCCAACCACCTCCCATCTCCTGCTCTTCAAACCAGCTCTTGCCAGGAGGCCTCCTCCTTGAGCAGGGATCCCTTGCAGGAACAGATGAAGCCTTTCACACACAGCCATCAGCCCTTTGCTCTGCATTCAGCATCTTGGCTCAAGCCAAGGTGGCATCTCTAAAGCACAAACACTGCTTTTTCTTGCTCAGACTGCAAAGGAAGCCATGGTGGCATTTTTCCCTCCTTCCAGAAGGAGCAGAGTCCTTTGTGTGGGCTGCAGTCTATCTGTCCATCCATCATCCATCTGTCCATCCATCCCTCCTCACAAAGCAGGAGCAGGGACTGTGCCTTATCCCTGTGCCACCAATTCCTCTGACTTTCCACCACCCCTCCTACCTCTGGCCAAAAATCACCATTCTTATCCCCACCAGACTGATACCTGAAGCATCTCCCTGGTGCTTCACTGCTGCCTGTGACACCAGAACTCCCATTTTTGGGGACAGTTTTTTGAAAGAGGTGGATAAACACCAGGAGGGAACACCCAGAAAGTTCCAAGGGAAAGGCAATGACCAGATGTGCAGCACAGCCCCCTCAGAGTTCACCCCTTGGAAGGTCCTTCACTCTTAAAAAAAATCACTGAAATTTTTCACAGGATTTTTTTAACCCAAATGTAATGCAAGAATTTTGGATTACGCAAATAAATGAAGTTATGAATTTCTCTACTTTCTTTAAAGGAACAAATAAATAATTTGGTTTTTCTTTCAATTTACCCTGAACTTAGTGCATAACAAACAGGTGACAATCACTGTCACCACCTGGCCCACACCCCAGTGCTCTCCACTCAGGTAATTCCTGGTGGGAAGCACCATCCCTTCATCTTCTGCAGTGCTTATAGCACTTGAGCTGCACTCAGCAAAAATCAAACCAGATTTTAGGTGCTTTCTATGTTTTTTTCCTCTTGCTGAAAAGCCCATAATTCACTGCTGAAGTGACTCCTGCCACGTGTTGCTGCATTTGTTATTCTGTTATTTGGTTCTCCTGCAGGAAGTGGGATAATTGTCCTATTCCTTTATCAGAGAAAAACACCTATCTCTGGCCAAGTGTTTCTCTAAGATAACATTGTACAATTCTCTTGATTTCATCAGGCCGGTGTATTTGCAGCTGCTGATAAATACAAATAGAGCAGAACTTTAATGAGATCCCTCAGTGAAAAGCTGTCACCAAATTAGGCTGAGCCAGTGCAAGTGTGCAATAATTGTTTCACCTTAAAAAACAAGATGCCCTCTGTGTTAACAAGTCCAAGGTATTAGTCAAGAGAGGAAGGGAGGGAAATCAATGCCACAGAAAACAAAAATTGGTCAAAAATCATAAAGCAAAATGCAGTCCAGGCTCAGTTCCAGAAATCCACTGTGGCCACCAGTGGGTGACAGAAACCCCTGAGAAACTGAGAATTGAGCTGTCCCAGGGGAGATACACGGATGGGAAGGGATAATCAGAGCTGATTTCCAAAATCAGACATTTCTGAAAACTGACAGCCTACATACGTATAATGGAGAATACATATATAATGGAGAATATACCTATATAATGGAGATTTTTGTCCCCTAAACAAAGCCAAATCCCCCAATCTGAAAAGAATTTTCAGCAATTCAGAGATACACCTTAAAGAGAGGCATGGAAGAAAAATGAGGAAACGCTGGTTTAAACTCACCCTGCCTAGTAGGGGAAGTGAAGGCAGTTCTGAAAACAGGCAAAAATGAAGAGAAAAGCCAGAAAATGGGTATTGAGGGCAGCAATGAATTCAAATTAGAAAGTTGTTCAGGTTCAGAGAAGGATAGACAGGAAGCCCAGACGTCATGGTGGTAAGAAAATAAAGAGATTTTGAAAGAACATCCAAAAAGAATGGCAAAAAGGAAGCCCAGCCCTGCTGCAGTGCCCTGGCCATGGTGGGCAGAGCTCAGCCCTGGGCTCACCCAGCTGAGAGCCCAGAGCTGATGCAGAGCCTGGGATCTGTGGGACCAGGGCAGACCCTCCCAGCCCTCCCCAGCTGCAGCTCTGGGCTCTGTCCTCCTCTCAAACCTCACCCTCAGACAAGCTGGAAATGCAACTTTAAATAAAGGGTAATTAATCCAAGGGAAAAAAGTTAGCCATGTGAGGGAGTTTTCTTTGAAGAAATGTTTTCCAAGTATTTTTATTATTTTCAAGAGCTCTGGTTTGAACACCAGTAAGGGAAGCTCAGCTCCTGCCTCTGCCCTGGCCCCACCTGAGTTTATTTTGTGCACAGCAAGGAAATCACTTTGTGAGGAAAACCAGGCAGGTCCAAGGCCCTGGAGGAGTGTGAGACCTGGGCCAGCACCAGGGCACTGCCTCAGCTCCTGGCACCAGCTGCTCCAAACCAGCTGGCCAAACAAGCAGGGGGCTGTGATAAAGATGAGAAAAAACAAGGAAAGAAAGGACAAAGGAGTGATTTCTTTTCCATGCCTCTGGAGTAAGCCATGGACAATCCAGCATAGGAAAATTCCCTTTGTCAGCTTGTTCTCCTCCCTGCATCTGCTGCCAGGAGCATCTCCAGGAAGGGGAAGGCACTGGCCTGACTCATCCTCTCCTCTCCTGCTGGAGCACACACAGCTGATCACCATGGCTGCAGGGACACCTGGAATGCTGCATCCCAGAGGGTGGAGAGACAACGTGGACACCAGGGCAGGGGGATGTGGGATTCAGGGAGAGGAAGGGAACATGTGAAAGGGAAAGGAAAATCAACTGGAAGAGACTGGAGAAAAGACTGTATAAAGCAATTAACTGTGCTGGCAGGTCTGGGGGGAAAGCCTGAAAAAAGACATTTTATTCATCTCCTAGCCACTCTTCAAGTAAGCTTTTCTTGGCTAACTAAATAAATTGCTTTAAAACAGCAGCATAGGGAAAAAAACCCCAACAAACCAAACCCACTTTGAACTTTCAAATGCCTCATTCCAGCACACAGCACCTCTCCCCTTTCACAAGACCTGGTGTTATAGATGGGACAAGCTCTGTCAGTCACACAGGGACAAGATTTCAGAGTCTTTCCCTGCTACACACAAACACCAGGGCATCATCTGGGCAGAAATAGAGGTTGCTTTTAGCAGTCTCTGGAAAACCCTCTCCTCTTGCCTTGCTGCCAGCACGGAGCAGGAGCCAGGAATGTCAGTGGGCCTAAACTCTGGGGCTGTGCCTCAGCTCTGCAGCTTTATGTACCCTTAATAGCTTCAGCCTAATCACTTCTGTGCCACAGCTAAAGGCTGAGCCATTCCCTTGTCAGAGCAAAGCACTGATAGGCAGCAAGGCAGCAGAAACCCCATCAGGCACTCCTGCCAGGGAAGGCAGCTCTGACAGAACCTTCCAGGCCACAGGCCATGGGTAAGCTAAGAAAGGAGGGGAACAAACAGGGAGCTTTTGAAATTACAGCTCAATTTTTGATAGAGGAATGACAGATCAGGGTAATTAAGAACAGGGAGAGCAGAACATGTTACTTCTCTTGCAGAGCTGAAACTGCAGAGCCAGCCTTGTCAGCAGTGGCTGCAGGACACCAGCAGCTGCCAACTCTTTGTCCAAGGGCAGTTGGCTAATTGGTGTCTCTGGGAATGATCTTTGTGCAAGACAACAAGCCCCAGCCCTGCTGCAGCCCTGCCACCTGCCCAAATAACAAACCCAAAGCTGTGCTCAGAAGGTGTCTGTGGAATGGTCCCAGGGACAGGACAGCCCCAGCCCACAGCCTGCTGCTGCCACCTGATAAATCCTCCCTCAGCTTCAGCTCTTGTACCTCTTGATCCCTGAACAGAAGTTTTCCCCCCAGCCTGTGAACAAATATTAAAGCAGCATTAAAAAGCTCAGCAGTATCTCCCTAAGAGAACACAGTGTTCTTCCATAATTCATCAGTGAGGGCAGAGCATCCAGCTCGGCTGCATCCCCACTCTCTCTGCACAGCACATCTCTCCAGATCAGCCCAGGATACAGCACCACTGCCAGGCAGGCACTGAGCTGCCATCCTGCAGGAGAGGGAGGCAGGGCCAGGGGAGATGGCTATCAGCACAACAGGAAATTGTGACATGCAGCAGTGCCACCCATCCCTGCTCCTGACTGACAGTGGCTGCTGATAAAGCCTGAGTGCTCCTGAACTGCAGCTTTGCACAGACTGAAACTGAGCTGGGGCAGTGGATGTTCTTTCTGGCATCCTCAGTCAGGCACCGACTGAGAATACCACAAACCCAAAGCAAGGGCAAAGAACTGTAGAGGGACAGAATAGAAGTAAATAAAGGCAGTATAGAAAGTAATCTTAGCCCCTAAAGAGTTGCAGCTGGGTTAATTGTCAAAGATTAGGAGCAGGCCTGACTTTAACAGGCCACAGCTTTCATCAGTAAGAAGAGTTATAAAAGAGTGGACTGGCTGGTTGAGGGGAACTGGAGTCAGTTGGCTGCTGTGAGAAGAAGAAAGAGTCAGTGCTTGGAGGAGCTGCCTGTGAGAAACATCAAGGAGGAATGAAACTCTTGCACTAAGGACACAACAATATGGAACCTTTGCAATGTAATGACAACAAAGAACCAGCTCCCAAAGGGCTTTGAGCAGGTGAGAGGCACTGACTGGAATACAAATGTGCAGCTTGCCTAGAACAGGGAGCCATTTGAGGCAGGGCAGTGCTGGGCCTGGTGACCTGGATCCTGTCAGTGACCTGGATCCTGTCAGTGACCTGGACCTTGTCAGTGACCCAGCAGCCTCTCTGCTCAGGTCTGCATATCAGAGTGACCACCAGACACCCAGCCAAGTGCACCATGACTGTATTTCTCATTACAGGCTGATTTCATTCCCAACAGGACCAAAAGCCCAACATGGAGACCCTGGTACCTTTTAGAATCCCTGGCAGAGAACAGAAGACCTGCTGTGCAGTTCTGTCAGAGCTCCCTGCTGTGTCTCAGCTGCACAGCTGGGATCAGGACTGGCAGTGCCTCTCACAGCACAACAACCCCTAAACAGCCACCTGGCAGCAGCAGTGGTGGCACTGGAGCAAGGTGTCACACACCATTCAGTGCCCAGCCTCACATCTTACCCTGTATCCAACCAAGCATGCATTTTCCTGATCCTTCTGCTCCTTATGGGGCACAGATGCTATCTCTGTAAGGTGAGAAGGGCAGCACAGCTCCTGAGAGTTCCTCTGTGAGGGCAAACACCCACCCCAGAACGTTCCCAGCTCACCCAGGCTCCCTTCCCACAGCCATTCCCCATTAATAGGAATGATGGTTTCCTGTTGCACAGCTCTGCTCTCTCAGTGATATCCAAATGACCATGAAAAAGGCAGCACTGTGTCGAGAGCAGAGGCACAAGGGCTCCAATCTGCATTTCAAGCACTGCCCACCCCAGGCAGTGACCCCTGCTCCCCAGGATGCAGATGCTGGGGAAGAGGATGGAGAGCTCTGAATTTGCTTGCAGATGGGAATGTGCCAGTCACACTTGACTGCAGTTATGTTGAAAGATTTCAGAAAAGCCTCACTCCTGGCACAGTCACAGCACTGCAGGATGGGAGAGCTGGCACTCAAGTCACGTCCTGCTTCCAAGAACTGGCTCCCTTCCCTCCCTGCCTCCCTTATTAAAGCATATGGCTGCTGCCAGAGAAGCTGCAGTCTCTGCAGTGCCCTCTTAACCAGCAGGGAATGCAGCACCCATCCCACAGCTGATGGGGCATGCACAGCTCCCCAGAGGACAGAGGCTGAGTTGGTGTACACCACCATCCTCTCAGATGTGCAAGGAAAACACTCATTTCTCACAAGGGGAACACCAATCCACACAGATGTTTAGCTCCAGGTTCCTTGCACCCACACTGGCCAAGTCTAAACTCCAGTGGTTTGGGTCCCTGGTGTTACAATGCTTTAAAGAAAAAACAAAACCCTGACAGAAGCCAGGCATTTAAGCTCTTTATAAAATTAAATTGTGCCTTCAATTATGGCAGAACACAATAGTAGATGCATAATCTCCATAAGAAGTTTAAATCCATAAATACCATCAGCAAAGCTGCTGTGACTGGTGAATTCCCAAAGGGCACCTCCAGCAGGGACACAAGAGCAAAGTCATTTGGCCACAGCCCTTTCTCTGAACAACCTGAAAGATTTCCTGTGTGCTGCCATGACACAGGGGTCGTGGTCCCTTAGCAAGGCTATCCCAGGCAATGAGGGCTAAAGGAGCCAAATGTCAGGGCCAGGGCTACAGCCAATTCCAAGCTAATATCCTCCCTGCTTCCAGGGATTTTTCCTCCTCTACTACTCCAGAAGCCTGAAGGCTCCCATTACAGCTGAGACAGACTTACCTGAACCCTGAGCTGTAGGGGGAACATGCCTACCTCAGAGTCTGATATGGAGACCCGATGGGACTCGATCGTTGGTCTCCTCATTATTCGTGGGGACGGCCCTGTGGCATAGGGACCAGAGCCTGCAGTGCTGCTGGAAGCCAAATAACCTCCTGAGGATCTTTCCTGAAGGGACAGCTTCCTACTGGACAGACCAGGTCTGGTTAGAGGTCTCTTGGGAACATGCCTCAAGTGAGCATCCTCTGGCTGTTGGGAAGGCAGAAATTCATTGATTCCCACGTCACTGCTGACTCCATTTCTCTGGATGTGCTTTATGTTATCTGAAAAGACTGTGTCGTTTTCTTCAGGGTTGTCTTCACCATTTTGGTCACTTCTGTCTGGGACAACAGACACGTCTATGGCTGCCACCCTCTCCACCAGCTCAGTCTGTGTGTCCATGCCTCCATCCAGGACATTTGCTGGAGAGTCCCCCATGGCTGTGCCCAGCTTGTTTGCTCTCAGATGGTCACACAGAGAGCAGTGATGTTAGTGCTCAAAGGCTCCATGAAACACCTGAGAGGAATCACAAACAGAGGCAAACTGAATAAAAATTTTCACTCAACACAAACATAACCAGTCACTTCTGCCTTCTTCCAGCATGCAGGAAAGTGAAGGCAAAACACTGGCAGGCTGTAAACAAGGTACAAACACTCAGATTAAAAGGCAAACCCAGGCATTGAGCTAGACAGGAAAGACACAAAAATGAGATTTTATCTGATGTGCAACAAGTGACACAGCTAAAGAGAACTTCTCCTGCAGCCAGACCTACAGCCAGGCAGCGCTTACAATACTGGGAGAAGCATCCCAACAGCTGAGGGCCAAGGGTCAAACTCTCAACCTCTCAAATTCTTATTTATAGGATACAAGAGCTTCTGGCATGTACTGGAACCCAACAGGCACAACAACAACTCCACAGCCATTTAGGGCTCCCCAGAGCCTCTCTGCTGCCCTGTAGGGCCTTAGAGACTGTCACAGAACAGCCAAGCCTGCTGACTTCCACACTGCCATTTGTAACATGGTCAGCAAAAGCAGAATTTAAAAGCAAATCCGGTTCCAGGGTTGCCCCTGGCCGTACACAGTTGCAGTCTGTGTGCAAACACAAGTCAATGTTGCTGCCCACTGTATATAAAGGCTACAGTGATTTGCAAATCAACACTGCTTAATGATTAAAGTGTGGTAGGAACCAGCTTTTCCTTGGGAAAAGACCTACAGAACAAAAAAGTGCAACACAAAGCTAAAACTGCTGCATAAAATCGCTGTTTCCTGGATGCTAATTTCAGTCTCAATTTAAAACAGATTTCAATCTTCCCAGCACAGTGCAGTGCAGGAAATTATGCTCTGCAGCACATGGCTGCCAACACTTAATCACCCCTGAAGATGCAGCACTGCATCATTCCATCCCTGTGCCCAGATCCTGGGGCCAGGAGGAGAACTTGACTTCACTCACAGCATCCCAGTGAATTCCAGAGTGGGCTTAACCCTGAAATACTGCAGCCTGTGGTTCTCTGTATTCAAAGCAGGTTGTGCAAGCCAGGTGACACTTGCATCTCCATTTCATTTACATGAGGACAGGGTGGGGGTGAGTGAGTCCAAAGAGCTCCATCCAGCATCAGCCTGGGAGCACTCACAGTCCTTGCCAAGGAGCACAGGCTGAGCTGGGCTCAAAGCTGCCCAGCAAAGCTCAGTTAAACACACAGCAGTGAACTCTGCTGCACAGGGATGAGCTCATGAGTCCCCCATGGCAGCCAAGCTCAAGCTTTTATATCAATGAGAAAATTAAAATTTTGATTAAGATGAAGATCTTGACTGGAGGCTTCACCCTAAGTCATGTGCCAATCAGAGGGAGCCAAGCTGGGCACTCAGTGTCACAGAAAGGGAATATCCAAATCTGAGATATTCCTTCCACATCACTGCTCACCTCCTTTCCCCCCTCCTGTCTTTTCTGCAGGCTTGCCTGAAACTAATTGACAGAAGTGTCACTCACTCAAAACAGTAATGAAATGGTGAGATCAGCTTTAAAAGCTTCCATTAAAACTATATTTAAACACATCAATCCCAAAGCACAAATCCCCTTTGGAGCCAGGGTGCAGGCACTGGGGGTGGCTCTCAGCAGTGGGGGAAGGCTTTGGGGTGCAGCCCAGCACACCCTGCACTGTTTGTGGCCCCACAAACCCAGGGCAGAGCAGCAGGAGCCTCCTCTCTGCCAGACCCCCCTGCCCAGCTGCAAACCAGCAGTGACCCTGCCAACCTGTGGGGAGCCCAAACCAACCTGTGGGGAGCCCAAACCAGCCTGTGGGGAGCCCAAACCAACCTGTGGGGAGCCCAAACCAGCCTATGGAAGACCCAAACCAACCTGTGGAAGACCCAAACCAACCTGTGGAAGACCCAAACCAGCCTGTGGGAGGCCCAAACCAACCTGTGGGGAGCCCAAACCAAGGATTTGCTGTCTGCAAAATGCTTTTGTGAAGCCTGGAGAGCTTCTGAGCTGAACAAGGAGCATCATGTCAGGGCCACTGCCAGGCTGCAGTGACCCCAGTTCCTCTGCAGAACTTTCCCTGCACTGCAGGGCCTGGGGAGCTGCACATTTCCCAGTGACACATCTGTGGGACATGGCTGCATGCCTGGCTCCAGGACAAGGTCATCTCCTAAGCCTCAGGGAGGCACAGCCAGTCCCCAGCCCTGCCTGCAGCAGGGATGCACCAGCCCCATCCCTGTTGTCAGCAGCCCCTGCCAGGCTGCTCCATCACAGAAATCATCCTGAATGAAGGCAAGGAGGGAGCAAAAACGCTGCCATAATTTAACCCAGCTTGCCCAAAGCTCAGGAGGAACCTCCAGGTCGCCCAGTGCTGAAAGCTTTCTTCTGCCCATAGAGAACAAACCCAAGGCCTTTCCTTGATGCAGCTTGAGCCCCTCACCTCAGTCCCAGGCAGCACCAAGAGGAAAATAAATCTGCTAAAATAAACCTGCAACTGAAGCCTGCAGCTCCTCACCTTCCTCCCTCCTCCTGCCACCAGGTTTTCCCCTCTGTGGGAGCAAAGGGAAGGAAGAATCTGCCCGTGTTGCTGTGTGGATGGGTGTGAAAGCCCACAAACCACCCACCTGGAATGAACATTTGTGAGTCTCCTGCCGCTCAGCCAGCAGGAAAAAAGGCCAGGAGCTCTGGCAAGAGCAGCCCAGCAAACAGTGATGCTTGTGTCACTCACCTGGGAGCTCCTCAGCACCCAGAGCAGGCACACAGGGTGGCTCCCCCTCAAAAGCAAACTTGCTCAATTCTAACCCACAGCCCAGGCTGCAAAATAAATCCTCAGCTAACTGACAACTGAACTAGATAAACTGAAGATAAACCCCATAAATCAGTTCATCCCATCAAAACAAACAGACCCATACATTGCTGAAACAAATAGCACAGTGCTGCTAAAAGCAGGCTAAAAAATCCAGCAACACTTTAAATAAAATAATTGTTCATCTGTAGAGCTGGGCTTTGTTTCAAGTTCTGTTTTGAAGGATTCCTTTTCACTGATAAATCCTCCAAAACTGTATTGGAAAGCAAAGATTTCTGAATAAGTCAATCAGTTATGTGCAGCTCAGCACAAACTCAGTACAAAAAAAACCCCAATAATTTCTGCAAGGCTAAATCAATGGTGGATTTGCAGTTTTTCAGGCTGTGGCACAACCATACCTTGCTGTGATGGGAAATCCCAGCAAAACAGAAATTCTGCCTCCATCTCCCAGCTCCTGCACAGCTTTGCTGTCCCTGCTGATCCCCTCAACACTGAACACCTGCTGGAGAGCAGAGGAAAATGCTGCAGACACAAACCAAAGCTGCAAACAAGCTTCTATGAGCAAAATTAATTTACTTACAGATATCTTATTTACCATTTTCCCCTGTAGCTATTCCTCTGCTGCAGGCAGATTGCCACTTGAACCATGATTTTCACAATATATTTATCAAATGGCTGCATATGTTTCCAGACTGGCACTGAGCAGAGAATAGTACAAAAAACCCTCCTGAAAGAAATATAATCCCAGAGAAAACCTCTCTGTATTTTATGTGGGAGTGGGAGATGAGCAGATGCAATCCATTTTGGTGCTCAATAAAGTATTCCAAAGCATTGTTTGAAAAATAAAAAAATGTAAATCTAGTTTATTGCCTGATTCTTCATCCTCTTGGCTAACCAGAAATGTTCCTGTCAGAAAGGATAGGGGGGGTAAAAGGCCTCAGCAAACCCAGCTTCATTTCCCAAATTTGCTACAGACTGCAGAAAAGTGACTTTATGGCTTTGTTGCAGTTCCAGGTTTACAGCAATGATGCTGCTTCTCCTTTGTGTCCCTGAGAACACACCTGCCTGCCCTGTGCTGAGGCCATTGCAGGAAAAGAATCTCAGTGAATAATTACTGAAATGAGAATTTGCACAGGAAAAGTTCAGGCAGATTCTGCTGCTGCTCAGCCAGAGGCTGCAAATGCTCATGGCTGGGTTCCCCATCAGGGATGTCACCCTGAGCCCTGCCTGCTGGCACATCCTGACCACCAAAGCCCACAGCCACTGGCACACAGAGAGCTCCCAGAGATCACAGCAGCTTCACTTAGGGCTTTGCTCTGCTCAGCAAGGGCAGGGATCGGGCCAGGCTCTCCAATCAGTGCAGGGATTCCTGCCCCAAGAGTGGCTGCCTGCAGAGGGGATGTCACAGAACTCACACAGAATTCACACAGAATTCACACAGAATTCACACAGAATTCACACAGAATTCACACAGAATCCACACAGAATCCACACAATCACCGGGTTGGAAGAGACCTTCAAGATCATCGAGTCCAACCCAGGCCCAGCACCTCAGCTAAACCCTGGCACCCAGTGCCACATCCAGGCTTTGTTAAACACACCCAGGGATGGGGACTCCACCACCTCCCTGGGCAGAACATTCCAGCACTTTATCACTATTTCTGTAAAAACTTTTTCCTGATATTCAACCTGTATTTCCCTTGGTGCAGGTTAAGACTGTCATCCCCATCACCAGCATCCATCAGCTCAGGCAGGACCCCCCAGGAACCCCCTCCTGCCTGGGGCAGAGCTGACAGCACACCCAGCCCTGTCCTGTGTGTGTTTTTCAGACATTGCCCCCATGAGGAATCCACTCTGACTGCTGCCAAGAGCAGCAGAATCTCCCTGTAAGGAGAGCAGCAGCACGTCCTGGGCTGGGCAGCCAGGCCCTGGACAGCTCCTCCAATGACATTTTAGAAATATCAGGTCAGCAAGTCCCTTTCAGAGCCAAAGCTGTCTCCTCACACCAAGCAGCACAGATTGGGAGTGTTTCCATCCTGGAGTGTCTCCTGTGCTCCCAGCTCTGCAGGATTTCCCCAAACACTGCTACCCTGATATGAAGGAGGTAATTCCACACCACTCACCTGTCACAGGCATGTTTTATGAAAAATCCTTTCCTTAGGATTTTTCTCCTGAGAAGCTGAGAGGCCTCAGGAACAAAATGTAAACATTGATTATCTGCTGCTGTGGGATGCAACAGGTGCATCTGTGATTGGTTTTGTGGCTGTTTTTAATTAATGGCCAATCACAGTCCTGCTGTCTCAGACTCTCTGGTCAGTCACAAGCTTTTGTTATCATTCCTTTTTTATTCTTAGCCAGCCTTCTATTCTTTTAGTATAGTTTTAATGTAATATATATATATATATATATATATATGTATCATAAAATAATAAATCAAGCCTTCTGAAACATGGAGTCAGATCCTCATCTCTTCCCTCATCCTGGGACCCCTGTGAACATGGTCACACCTCACCCTGACCCCATCAACCTTTCATACACGTGGAAGGCACTTGTCCTAAATCCACTCCAATACTTTTGGTCTGGAGAAGTTTGAGGGGAACTTGGAACCCACAGCCATGCCCTGGAGCAACCTCTGAGCTGCCCCAAACCCCACAAGCAGCTGGCAACACATTGAACTGCAGATGAATGCACCAGCCATTGATGGGTCTCACTGCTATGGTGGGAGAGCAGCCAGAGGGTTCATTTCTCCTGCAGTAATTAAATTCAGAGCGTACATTTGGCATCCACTGCAGCTCTGCCCACCCCTGGCACAGCAAGCAGGGCACCTGAGGGTCAGACTGCCTCTGCCCATCTCCACTCACACTGCTGCTGCCAGGAATCAGGCCCTGGAGAAGCAAATGAGCTCCTTGGCATCTGTGAAAACCAGTTTCAGACATCACTGGCCAAAAGGCAGCCCAGACCAAGAGGCAAAGGACAATAAGAAGCTGCAGCTCTGTGAAGCTGAAATGAAGCAAATCCCTGCAGTCTTTGCAGAGATAATGAAGGCAGGTGCACACTGCTCATTTGGACTGTCCTCCCTGGAAGGGACAATAATCACTCTGGGTACTCATTTCTGATTAGAAGCAGAAGACATTAACACAAGTAAATGATAAATAAGAACACACTGTTGGTGCTTTTTGCACACACCCCATATGTTTGCTTTGTCCTAGGGCTCACAGGGCTCTTGTTTCAGGGCACAGACAAGCACATCTTGCTGAGAAATCACTCAATCCTGCTGTAATCATCCAGCCCCTCTTCTCTGTACAGCTCCTGGCAGAGAGCCTGGCTGTTGTGCCACAGCTGAAAATCAGATCTGCAGCAAAGTGCTTTGATGCCTTGTGTGAAGTTCCTCACACAGCTTTAACAGGAACCAGGGAATGAGAAAGAACAGCAGCTTTTGCCATTCAAGCACTGGGTGAGAAATCAGAAAAGCAAGTTCAGACCCCTGCTCCTGCCAGGCTTCTTAAATGACAACAAACATCTCCAGACCACAGTCTGGAAAATGCAGCATTCTACCTCCTCCTCAGCCCTGTTCAAGGCAGGTGCCTTCCAAAAGGATTTGGGGCAATTTCTGCCCCTGAGCTACAGAAAACAAGCAATGCAGGGTGCACAACTCTGTGCTTGCCCTGCTCTCATCTCTCCTCCCTGAGAGGCCCCATCTGAAGGCAGAATCTGGGGTTTTGATCTGAAAAAGGACTGAGACTTTCACGGCCCTGGATATAAAGTACAGATGCACACATGGGACACAGGCTGAGCTCAGCAGTGATCTCCTGATATTTCATGTCAAATACAGAAGTTATACACCATGAAGGCCATGTATCCACTTTTCAGAGCAATTAATACCACATTTAAAATAAGTTTTGAAACTAACCAGGATGCTGAACCAAGATCTCCAGTCCACCAACCTACAATTCAAGAGATAACAATCACCTTGTGCACAGTCCTGAGCCCGGAAAGTTTTACAAAAGATTTCCCAACTGCATTATATTTCATCCCTCCATGTTCTAATTATATGGTTAAATACATTTGCATAATCAGATGCAATTACACTAATTGCATATATAAGCAATAATCAACCAAAAATTGCTCTGAAGAAAAAAGTTTCTACTTAAGGAAATTTCTGTAACAAGAAAACACTGAGGAATGCCAAGTCTATCTAAGTGAGAGTGATATTAACATTAAACACTCCAGATAATGCAGGTGAAACAGGAGCCCTGCCAGAGCATTATCTGAGCGCAGCTCTGTTGGCACATTTTGACCATGTCTTTGGTGGGGACAACACCAGAGAACTGAAGAGGAGTTGAGCTCCTTTGTACTCAAGCCCTGGCTACAAATGACTTTGGCAGGACAGGTTTGGCTGCTGTGTTTTATTGTGTTCCACAGCAGAGGTTCAGTGAGAACTGTGGGCATCAGCTCCTGCTGCTGGACTATGTTCACTTCTGCTGTAATCTCTTAAAGCTGTTTATCAGTGTACGAGCATCAGAGCAGCTTTTATTTTGCAAATTACAGCCGGGAAAGCACGAGGCACAGGCAATGAGAGGCACTCAGCCCACATATCCCCCAGATTTTGCTTTCAGTGATGCCAGGTGCTGTGACTCACCACGCCTGCAGCAGCCCAGAGTGACCACGAAGCAGCACATCCCAGCACACACCTCCTCACTGACTCTGGTGACAGCCTGAGCTCAGACTGCAACAAATCCCATTTGCTCTTGTGACAGGGGACACAAAAGCCCTGTGGGGAAGCAGCCTGGCCACTGTGGCAGCCTGATCCCAGCTCCTACAGGGGGGCAGTGAGGGGTGGGAGGATGGAGGTGTGAGCACAGAGCCCAGGTCCAGTCCTGCTGTGTGACCACCAGCCTCACTGGGTGCTCTGCCCACTTCCAAGTGACCCTAGGGACAGCAATTGGAGGGATTTTGGCACGTTAATATGCACACACAGCCTGGACAACATGGGCATCCCTGCTCAGGTGTCAGAGAACAAAAACCCATTCCTAAAGCTGCTCTCAGACAACACCAGCTCAGACCTCAATCTCCTCTTCCCAGCCCCCAAGACCCCAGAGCCTGCCTACCTCAATCCCCTCTTCCAGTCAGCATCAAGAGTGCAGGAAATCCCCCAAATGCAACCTGCATGCTGTACAGGGAAAGCTGCTCCCCAAAAATCCCATGGAAAAGCAGCACCTGTGAGAGTGCTTGGTGCTACAGCCTGAGGTGGGCACAGCAGCTCCCCAGCAGGGTCAGTGCAGGAGCTGTGCCATGCAGGGAGCAGCTCCTGGGGCTGAACACGAGCAGGGGAGGGCAGGAGGAGGAAGAGGAGGAAGAGGAGCCATGGCTTGCTGTCACTTGCTGGGCTGAGAGCAGTGTGATTCCCAGGAGAAGAGGCAGCCCTGGCAGGGAGCACAGCTTGCTGGAGGTGGATTTAAACAGCCAGTGAGGGGGTGCTTCAAAAAAATA